ACTACCCTAAGGAAAGAAAGAAGAAATATCAGTACAAAAAGCATTGGTGAATCATTCAAAATATAATGTTAATTCACATCCATCTAACACAATCCAAGAAAGCCCACGTGAAAAGGAGCAACCGTGTCACTGTCCCCAAGACATCTACAAAGATTGTGGTCATTTTGTTTTGGCTTTGAGTTAAAACACGATGACCCAGAGAAAGGATTGGAGTATCCTAGAGGGCAACCAGGGACTTTGGTCTTCAGGACTTTACCTAGGAAGGAGAACAAGAGATTTTAATGGCTAGATATCCTGGTGTCCTGGAACATTTTCATCAGCTACTCTCAGGAGCACCCACACACAAAGAATTGCTATGGGGGAGTTCAACCCAATAACCCAGATGCACTCCACTCTAAGGGGCGATAAAGCAAGAACGGGTGAGCATGCATGCACATGCCCATGTGTGTGTGTGTGTGTGTGTGTGTGTGTGTGTACACAAATTAGTCCTTAAAAAACTTCCAGTTGTACCTCTCTCAGGGATTGGGTGAGGCTGGAATGTTCTTGGGGTCCTCTGTATTGTTTGCCATATATGATGCAGTGACTGATACCCGTGGAGATAGGGGGCTGAGCAAGACCTTTGCCATAAGTAGCCCAGCAACTCCTGAATTGATTCAGATGACTTGTGTGGATCAATTTACTGACATGGGAAGGGAGGTTCCTGTAAGAATTGCCCCTTACAAGGGTTTTCAGGTCCTTGGTTTGGATTTGATAACGATGACAAAATTAAATTAAAAAAAATTTACTTCCATAAGCTTCCAATACGCTTCAAAGCAATTGCAAAGTGAGAAAATCTCTTCAAATAAAGATTGAATTATTTCAGACCCAAAAGATAAACACACTGAGCCAGTGCTAATAGAAGATGGATGTGGTAGGTTGCATCTTTAAACACTTTATCAAAATGCAGTTGGTGTGGCATTTTGATTAACTCAGTAACCAAATTATATTTACTAGATATCAGATCTGGTCTATTATGCAGAAGTATTTGTTAAGTAAACTAAGAAAAATAATTTAAATGAAAAATATCAGGTCCCTGGACACAACTTGATTTGCCATATAATCACACAGTAATAAAACACAGTTTTGTTAGAGTCTGTAAACAAGTCAAAATAACACCTGGCATTTTGCCAGGGGAATGTTAGAGTTTGTAAACAAGTCTGGATGGTGCCTGGCAAAATGCCAGAGGGAGTGGTTTGAGAAGTAACAAAAGCAAGCAATTAAGTGTGGAGATTCCCTATTGGTTGACTGATGTATCTAGTTTATGCTAATTAGATAAGCTGTGTGGAATGTATAAATATTGCTCCTGTCCTGCAATAAACGGCTTCCACTCCTGCTGTATCAACGTACACAAGTTGTTCATCACCCCCCGATTATTTTGCTGCAGCCGGACTGCAGCACAGTTTCATTTGCCATCTGCTAAAAATATATCTTGAACTATCATCAGAAAGCATTTCTCTATTGAACTGCTTACTGAAGCATGAGTCTATCATATAAAATTAGATTGAACATCATGCTTTAGAAATTACAGGGATTTTGAATAAGATGCATCTTGTCCCAAACATAAGTCTTAGAGGATAAGGAGGTTTATGATTCAAGAATTGAAATAAATATGAAAATTACATAATTTTGATAAGGATAAAAGAGACATTGATTTTCCCCTTTTTAAAAATACATTACTTTTAAATTATAACATTTTCCATGTATTAAAACTATATTAACAACTATCTTCCTTCTTTTGATTTTTTTAGATTTCTAGAGATGACCCTTCAACATTTACACTTTGGTCCATCCATATGTCTTAATCTTGTGTTTTCAAAAAAATGAAATAACACGTGATTGATCTTAAAAAAAAGTTTCAAATCAAAGCAAAATATAGGTTCACTCCTGATTGTCAAAGATAATTTTAGCATTTTTAAAATATTATCTGTGGCTTAGGTACCTGCATGATTGTTTTAGGATGCAAATTTTCACCCAAAGTATAATGAAAATTAGAAATAGAAATTCTATTTTTAATTTTTATTATCCTAAATATCTATATCAACATGATTTTAAAACATGGTAGAGTTTTCATTAACCTGGAACATCCCAAGAGAGACTACTCATGCTTTATTCTTCAGAAATCTGCTCAAAGCAGATTAAAATCTGTAAAATCATCCACACCAAAAACTATCAAAACTGGATTCCCCCAATGTCTCCTAAAAATAGCCAGCTCACATGGTAAAAACCCTGGTTTACAGTGCTTGCCAATTCGCATGGTATAAATATTCCCACAATGGCAAATTCCAAGCCACCACTTTAGGAATCTAAATGTGGTGTTGGAAAGAAATGCTCATAATCAGCTCTTGTGAGTAGCTAAGAACTGTCTCTAACACTGCATGTCCACCACAGTCCCAAGGTGCTGCAGTCTGGCTGGGCACAAATGCCGCAGTCTGGCTGGGCACACAATCACGAGCCACCACACAGCTTGTAGATTCAAACAGCAACTCTTTATTCCCGAACTCACACCAGCCGTCTACAAACACGTTCTGGGGAAATCCACGTTCTCTGCCCAAATCCACTCTCACTGGGCTTCTGTCTCCCGAAATATACTGTCTGAATCCCGTGAGAACTCAAGGGGAACTCAGGCAGCAGGATACGCCCTATTCCCAGCAGGAATAATCTTAAACCTTAAACCTGGAACCTAAACTGGGAACGCCCTAAACCCGATTATCTTAAACCGGGAACACCCTAATCCGCCCTGGTCCTTGAGCAAGGTCACCTACATTCAATGTCACTGCAAAATGTCAGCAACATGGGGTACGCTGGCAAGGAAATTGTCATACCTACTTGGCTAATGGCTCCCAGCACCAAGGCTCCTGTCAGTCCCATGTGATCTATTTAGAAGGGGCTTTAGGAAGAAGAAGCTACCCTGGTGTGGATGCAGTTTGTCACCAATGGTTCATGTGCTAGAAATTTAGTCCCCAGTGTGGTGGTGTTGAGGTAGTAGAACCTTTAAAAGAAAAGGCCTAGCAGAAGGTTATTGGGTCAAGACCACTAGTGTGAAGGGATTAATGCTGACCTCAAGGAATGGATTGGGTCTCATAGGAGTGGACGAGTTTCCACAAGAGCAGGTTCCTAAGAAACAGTGAGCTTTGCCCCTCCTCACTTCTTGATTCCTCTCTGGCCATGTGATCCTTTGCACAAGCTACCAGTATGTGATGCCATCTGCCATGTTGTGAAACAGCGGAGACCCTCACAAGATGCAATCATCCAGAGTCAAAATAAAAACCTCTTTTCTTTATAAAGAACTCAGCCTTGGGTATTTTTTTATTGCAACAAAATACTAAAACTAAGGTACTATTCAAAGCCTCCAACTGGTCTGTACCCACCATGAGCCATGTACATGGTACTGTATCTTCCTACCTGGAAGGTCACACTGAGTAAAAGAAAATGATCTCAAATCACTCTTGAGTCCCTTGTTTTAGATTAGGGTCTGAAAGGTGAAATCAGAACCACTTTCCTTTGCCATCAAAGAGGCACAGAGTTCTCAAGAGTCTTTTTTTATTATTTCCTAGCTATTTTACATTGCCTTTTCCTGCAGAAATGCACTCTTATGCCAGATGGATTTTTAGTCCACTGTGAGGTTTGAAAACACAACCCTAACCCTAACCCTAACTCTGGGCAAACTCTTAGTGCTTATTACTTGTAGAAACTTATCATTCCTACTTTGCTTCATTTTGGAGCCAGTAAAATTTTGTCAAAAGAGAAATTCTACATGGCACTTGCTACATGTACAGTGCTTCTCTTTTCATATTCGTGGGCCCAAGGATGTCTTATTTCTCCTGGACCAAACGTTTACAATTAAACAGTTTTGTATCGCCTTATGGAAACCCGGAAAATGGAGTTGAGTGAATACTGGTAAGGATGGATTTGATTTCAGTTTAGCACCTCAAACCTGCAGATGCTCATATTTGGAAAATGGTCAAGAAGAAGGCTGGAGCAGGGCTCCATAGAGATCTCTGTTGTTTCCTTTAAGGAAAAATCTTAAATCCTCTGCATTTGATATGTTCAGTGATGTAAATTGGCCAATATTCTTTACACTACCAGAACATCCAGAATTGCAGGTTGAGTTCTCCAGACACTGACACAGAGTTTGGGAAGCAGGACTTTTCCTAGAAATTGAGACCCAGTAAATAAAAGTTGAAAATGCAGAATTGGGCAGAGGAAGAGGTTGAATTGCAGTGTAGTCCCCCAAAATACCATGAACTCAGCAGGGAGCGCTGGAGCAAGTAGTGCTCCACTGAATTGCAGACTGCAATGTACCTCCACATCACTCACTGGCAGGGCTCCCTCAGGAAGGGCACAACCTTGAGGAAGGAGGCTCTCCACCTTCAGGAGCTGGAGGCCCATGCTGACCCCACTCCCCAGCTGGGCCCAAGTGCTTCCTTCAGGGGTCTGGTTGGCTCACCTCCACATCTACCACGCAGACCTATCAGTTATTCTTCCTGATTTGCCAGTTTATTGCTTACATGGGTATAAGTAGCAAATCACATTTATACATTGGATGAAGTAGTTTTATAGAAAAGATTAATTTTGCATTCAAAGAAATGCACAATACATATGAATATGTAATGTTTTTCTACCTTAAGTCAGTACTTGCCCCAGAAATTCTATGTCCTAAATTTACTATATTGTTTTCTTACTCATTCAAAAGTATTCTTTTAAATTCATTACAGCACACTGTGTAGGGTGCTGTTATTTATTACAAATAAAACTACAGAGCAAGTAGTTCTTCCTGAGATTCATTATCTCAAATTGACACTAATCAAAAACTCCATATAAAAAAGTGACCATGTGAAAATGTTAAAGATGATGACTATCTGCAGAGCTCTACACACCCAAGCCCTAAGTTAACAAAGATGGCCTGGAATCAGCATTGTAAGAAAGCAAAAACTTATTGTAAAAGATCACAGGAGCGCTTGTGCTCTCTAGTTGGTGGTGCAAGCAGTCGAACTTGCCGCCGCTCCCACGATGGCTTGGGTCTGGACTGCGCCACAATCTCTTGAGAGAAGTGGGTCTTCGGATCCTCTTTAGTGCCGGAGTTGGGGACGCAGGCAGCTTGGACACAGCGGGATAACAGAATCTCTGGATGGACTCTTCCTGGGAAGCCTTGCTAATTTGCAGCACCTGGACAATGTTCCTCATTAATACCTGTCTGTCAGCATAGTGGTGACATCATTTCACTGTGGTGGCAGGGACTCAGCTCCGAATTATAAATTGAAAAAAACCTGGATCCCAGTCTATCAATGGCTTCAAGACAACCAGAAGTACCTGCTCTTGGGCCTAGTGGGCCCCTAGGCAAGATGTCCCTGCCCATCGGGATGTGCTGTAGGGCATTCAGCTATGATGATGCCCTTGAGGACCCTGCACCCATGACTCCTCCTCCATAGGACATGGGCAGCATCCCCTGGAAGCCAGTGATTCCAGAGTGCAAGTATCAGCACCTTGCCAAGGAGGAGGAAGGAGAGGCCAGTGTATCCCCCCCTGCCATGACCCTGTCAACGGTCACTGACAGTACGGACAAGGTCCCAGTGGTGAAGGCCAAAGCTACCCATGTCATCATGAATTCTCTGATCACAAAACAGACACAGGAGAGCATTCAGCGTTTTGAACAACAGGCAGGACTGAGAGATGCTGGCTACACACCGCACAAGGGCCTTACCACCGAGGAAACCAAGTACCTCCGAGTAGCAGAAGCACTCCACAAACTAAAGCTGCAGAGTGGAGAGATAACAAAGGAAGAGAAGCAGCCTGCGTCAGCCCAGTCTACCCCAAGCAGCAGCCCTCACTCTTCCCCCAAGCAGAGGCCCAGAGGCTGGTTTTCTTCTGGTTCCTCTGTAGCCTTACCTGGTCCAAGTCCTAGCACCATGGATCCTGGAAGTGGAGATAAGGATAGAAACTCATCAGATAAATGGAGTCTTTTTGGTCTAAGACCCCTTCAGAAGTCTGATTCTGGAGGTTTTACTATCCAGGCCTACAAAGGCGCCCAGAAGCCCTCTCCCATGGAGCTGATCCGTGCCCAGGCCACCCGAATGTCTGAAGATCCAGCAACCTTCAAGCCACCCAAGATGGATGTCCCAGTGATAGAAGGGAAGAAACCACTGCCGCGGACCCATAATCTCAAACTGCGGGACTTGAATGTGCTCACACCCACTGGCTTCTAGAGTGTGTCTATTCCAGGGACTTGGGCTAGAGGGTTTCTTGTCCTTTATTCCCCTTTTACCTTAGCTCTGACATAGGAATGGTATATTAAAACAAACAAAACTGAGGATAGAGGTGGAGACATAATTAATTCTGAGAAACATCAGTGCAAAGCTTGTCCTTGTGTGGAAGAAACCATTTTGTAGTGTTTTAGAGTCAAACTAAAAAAAATCTCAGCAGTGATTTTGGGGGGAGGACTTCATTACCCTTTCTTATCATTTACCCCAGACCAGGACTTTGATCATTGCTTACTAGGTAAATGTTTATGCTATTCCAAAATCTAGGCTTCTTTTTACCACCATCAGCATAAATACACCATGGTGTAGAGGTGTCCGCTGACAAGTTTGGCCTTTTTGACTCCGCTGATGTCAGGTAGGGGGACCTAAGACCTGTTTAAGGTCTGGGTACAGTTAACAGCCACACTTCGCAGGGACCCCTATTTTCTAGGCTAAAACTGGTCTCCTTGCTTTTTGGTCAGTCTAATGGATTGCTTTGTCCTGTAATCAGTTCTTCATTCTTCTTGGTACCTCTTGAGCTGCTGCTGTTGGAGGGATGCTTCTCATTTACATGTCACAGAATAAACACTAGTCTTGCATATCCTTTCTTGCACTTTAAAGATTAAAGTAAGATTAGTTTAACTCCAATTTGGTTTAAACTTCCTAAAATAAGAAAATTAAGTCTATTGATTTAAGATATATTTTGTGATGCTGGGGATTGAATCCAGGGCCTTGTACATTCAAGGCAAGTGCTCTACCATTATTGAGCTATACCCCACCCCCTGCCCTAGGATGGTAAACTTTTAGAGTAAATGAAATTCATTTGAAATTAGTGTCAATTATTTCAGTTTCTTTGTATAGGTCAGGGCTTAACTTTTTGGAGGGGACATGGATATATTCAAAATAAGAAGAAAAGCATTTTTCACCAAAATGAGCCTCATATCTTTATGCAACATATCTTAGAAACTGCATTTTTATTTCTCCTCACTTTGTACATTTGTCTTGAACACTGTCTCAGATACTTGCCATTTTTGTTTTGGTTAGGATTTTTGTTTACATAAGAAGCTGACCTTCTTATAGAGAAGCCTTTAAGTCTAAAATTGTCAGAACAATTAATTTATTTGTGTCTTCTCTGTTATGATCTTTTGTTTGGACAATAAAGATCCTTACTGCTTTCTCAAAAAAAAAATATCACAGGAATACCCAAAGGGTATTTCTAATGCTAATAGATGTTTAATATCAAATATTTCTCAAAAATTAGAGTCAAATTTGATCATCAGGCCAATCATTTGATTCACTTGCTAAGGAATATTCAATAAGATACTTCCTGCTTGACATTTATTAAATTCATATGCACACTAGACTATATTTTTAGGTCCTTCTTTAGTTTAGTTGATCTAGTTATCTATCCTTATACTAATACTGTATTAATGAATACCATAGCAAGTCCTCCCTTGATCTTCTTGTTTTTCAAATTCATCTTAGCTGTTTGGTCCCATACCCTCCACAGAAAAAAACAAAAAAAAACATTTTATCCAATTACCCCTAAATATTAGGTAGGTAGAATTCTAATTAGAATTGTATTGAATTTAAATATTAACTTTAAGAGAGTAGCTGTGTGTGTGTGTGTGTGTGTGTGTGTGTGTTTGTGTTGCTGGGGATTGAACCTAGGGCCTTGTGCATGTGAGGCAAGCACTCTACAAACTGAGCTATATCCCCAGCCCGAGAGTTGCCTTTTTATACTAACTTTGCATTAAAGAAAATTTTATGTCTTTCCATTTGTGTAAATTTTGTCTCATGAGTAGATCCTATATTTTTTTTTGAAAGAGGAGAGATAAATTTGTTTTTACATGATCTATGTTTTGGAGCTATAAATTTTCCAATATTTATGTTATAACCATTCACTAGAATGTTTCTTTCTCCACCAATGTTTATATGAATTTATATGTTATATCACTTTTTCATTATTTTATTTTATCCATTGCAACCTCCAAAAATATGTTACACAATAAGAGAAAAGGAACTTTATGATTCTCATTTGACTTTCTACAATTTGTACCTTCCTAATTAACCTGCTCTTATCTATTTAGACTTCCTCTCCTCACTTTTCCTGTATAATCTCAAATTTTAATCAGAAGAGAATTGGTTTTTTGCTTTGTCTTTAAGGATAGTATTAGTTATTGGTTTTTCTAAGTAATCTGATTTCATTAGTTTCTTCCTGTTCTCTGTGATTTGGAGTTTTTCTTGAGAACAGCTTCTGAATCTTATCCAGTAATTTAACATAATCTATTTATTTGACCACAGTTCTCCTTCTCTGTTTTTTAATGTAATATACCAAGCCAGATTTAATAACACTGATATTTAACTTATAGTTCTGATATTGAACCACTCTTGTGTCCCAGAAATAATTCTTACTTAGTATATTATCCCTTGATACATTTCTGGACCTGATTTACTAATATTTTAATATTTATCTTTTTTTTTTTTTTAGCTTTCGGCGGACACAACATCTTTGTTTGTACGTGGTGCTGAGGATCGAACCCGGGCCGCACACATGCCAGGCGAGCGCGCTACCGCTTGAGCCACATCCTCAGCCCTTACTAATATTTTACTTTAAATATTTGTATCTATATTCATAAGTGGGATTATTCTATAATGTTTTCTAATATTTTGAGTTTATAAGATGAATTAGGCAGAATTTCCCTTTATATATGCCAGGGAGAGTTTAAATACCCTTGTCATTATCTTAATGATTGATTATACAAAACTCATCTATAAATCATTTGCTCCTGCTTCTTTGATGAACAATAGGATTTAAATCTTTCATCCTGCCCTTCATGATTTCTTATTCTGCTGTCTTGCTCTGTACAGAGGTATATTTCCTGCACTTTGTTTTCCAGGTCACTAATTTGGATTTCAAACATGATCATCTCATCTACTGAATTGTTCTTTGGTGGGTCTATTTTACTCCAGAAAGTGTTTCGGAGGGCCTGCAGTTTAATGTTCTTTTTAAAATGCAGATTGACAGTTGTCTCCTCCCACAGTTCTCTTGTGCTAAGTGTGTGTCCCATCTATTTTGACTGATCCTCCCTCTGCTCTTGGACCTGTATTAGTTTCCCAGGGCTGCTCTAACAACTTGTATAACTTAACACCACAGAAATGTATTCTCTCCCAGGCTTAGAAGCCTGGAATCAAGGTATCAACCTTCTTTTAAAGGCTCTAGGGAAGAATCTTTGTGCATCTTCCTGGCCTGTGGTAATTGCCAGCAATACTTGCCACATTGTGGCCTGAAGACACATCACTCCAATCTCTGCCTCCATCTCACCATCTTCCCTCCTTGTGTATCCATCTGTCTCCAAATCTCCATCTCTCTCATGACAGGTCATTGGATTCAGGGGTCACCCCAATCAAGTATAACTTCATCTTAACTTGATGACATCAATAAAGACCCAGTTCCTAGGGCTGAGGTTGTAGCTCAGCGGTAGAACACTTGTGTAGCACATGTGAGATGCTGGGTTCAATCCTCAGCACCACATAAAAATAAAAACAAATAAAAATAAAGATATTATGTCCAAACACTACTTAAAAATATTTAAAAAAACAGTTCCCAAATAAGATCACATTGGGAACACCAAGCTCCCTAAAAGGCCCATTAAATTTGTTTTTCATCTGTCAGCTCACTGGGCTTCAGCTTAGATTAGAGTACCCTAAGAACCCCAACCACAGGCTGTAGAACAAAAAATGTTCCTAATCCATCCTCATCCTCAGAAGGGTAGAAGCAAGAAGGCTGCCAGGGCCCTGTGATGCAAATAGAGGAAGCCCCCTAGCCTTGGGTCTCTCCCACTCCTCATACTCATCAAGTCTCAGGGACAAGAAGGGCTCAGGCACTGCTTTTGGCACTACTGACCTGCTTAACTCAATGTCAAGATTTCTCTCCATGTATCACCCCCATCCAAGGACCAAGCTCTCTCCAAATTCACTGTTCTCAGGCTGCTGATCTCCAGGCACTCCCTCAGCCTATGGGGAAGAATCCTCTCCCACAAAGCCCAGAGCCTCACTGGCATCCAGCTTCCCATAGACTCAGCAGAGGTAGAAAGGTTAGAGCCTGGAAGGGCACAGAAGGGACCTCATGGTCAGAAGAGTGGAGAGGGAAAGGCCTGGAATATGGGTATTTAATGATCAACCCAAACCCTCAAGGTCCTAAAAAGTGCTCACTGTCTGCTTGCCTTTGTTCCATCTTTGGATTTCAAATAACTCAACACAGAAGGCCGCACCCAGTGACACCAAAGCCTACTACCAGTACTTTTCCATTTATATCAGTGAGCAGAATGTGTTACTTCTTCCCCCACCCCCCAGGAAGAAGGCCTGTTTGAATTGGAGGGGAGGGTAAGTGTCATTTCCAATATTAATTCTTTTATTAGCTAACAGTATCTTTGATGTAAATCATACGTCCTTTTATATAACAAACATCTGAGCACCTGTTAACATGTGGAGTTTCTCTTGCCCACTGGAATAATCCATTTAAAAGTGAAGAAACTTGTTCTTCCTTCTTCATTAAAGGAAAAAAAAAAGAAAGAAAACAAAGTGATTGCTTTTTGCCATTGTCTTGAGTAAGATCTGAGAGTCAGAGGACTTGGCAGAAACTGCAGCTCACCCTCCTGCTTTACTTCGCACAAGTCTTTGTTCACTCTGAAGTGGATGTTTTCCAAGCTAAGCTCCCCAGAGCCCTGGGGGTTTCTTAAGGGAAAGAAAGCCAGAGGACTTGAGACCTCACTCCCCATCTCCTCAGCTAGAACAGCCACCTTTTTGTTTCATCTGTTTACACTTCACAAGATTTCACTCAAACAAAGGTTTCCTGGCCCAAACAAGTTTGAAAAACATTTTTTCAAAGGCAATGCAGGATCAGTTTTCAGTTTCCCAGCAATTAATGCAATTGGTTCCCTAATCCAAAGTACTTTTATATAACCTAAATCTAATACCATTATCCAACGTTAGTACTCCAAAACTGTTTTTCTATCCTAAATGCTTGAACTTTATGTCAATGCTGAGAGATATTTTCCAATGGCTGCTT